GATATAAAGGTGAAAAATCAGTTAGTAAAGGATCGCCTTGCATTAGGAACAAATATTGCTAACTTAGAAAGCTATTTACTATTAAGGAGCTTAAGAACTTTTGAACTTAGAATATTGAGACAGGCGGACAATACCGAAAAGCTTGTCAAGCATTTGGTAAGCAATCGTGATAAGTATCCTAAATTAAAGAAAATTTATCACTCTTCTTTACAAACCGAGTCATTTGTTAAGAAACAGTTACCAAATGGATATTCACCTGTTTTCTGCATCGAACTAGACAACGAATCAAATGCAAAAGAATTTCCATCCAAATTGCGCTATTTCCATCATGCAACTTCTTTAGGTGGAGTGGAAAGCTTGATTGAATGGAGAGTTCTTAGTGATCCAGGTATAATCCCAACATTGTTAAGAGTTAGTGTTGGTGCTGAGAATGCTGATGATTTAATTGCAGATTTTGATAAGGCTTTGAGATCTTGATCATCCTGATATGTACGCTATTCTTCTTCTTGATCGTAGATTTAGAGTGATAGTACTAGATAATTTTTTTCGTTTAAGAATTTTCCCTACGATCTGCTACATGTAAAAAATGAAAGTTAAATATATTTTCAGAAGTTTATTATTACATGATATATTAGATCGACTTATATGAATGCGGTTTTATGTTTTCTCTTTAATCATTTCTTTTCCATATGCTGCACAGTAATCCTTCGAATACTTAATCGAACAACTGACAAGATCATCATTGTAACCATATTCCTCCTTAGAAGATAGCAACGACGTTTGACCAAGGATTACTTTAAGTAAATTCTTTATGTGAACTTTGTGATCAACAGCATCCCCTGCTGATAATGTTAAAGTGATGTAATCTTCATGAACTTGCTCTAATCCAGACATATGGCTATTAACATCCCAGGATGAGATACCATTCGGTATCAACGCATCTGGCTCTCTAGGTTGACATATTTTTTTAGGATCAGACCAACCAGTGACCTTAACGTCTAGAGAAAAAAATTCACTTAGCTGAGAAATCTTGTACTTTCTACCTTCTTTATATAGCACCACTAGATTTGGACGATACATACTACTCCCACATCCACAATTCTTGATATGAGCTCTAGAAAACCCAACCCAGACTTCGGTATCAGATTTAAAATGATTATCTAATGAGGGAAATATGTTGTTTATGCTTATCAATTCTGTCCCACCCCGCAAATCACCAACCTTTGCATCGAAGGGTAAGTCATCTACTCTTTTGTATTCAAATGTACATTTTGAAATATCAGAAATGTCACTCAATTGGCATTTCATTATTTCCAAACTTTGCCATCTGTAAACAAAATAAATATTTTTATCATACCCGTGGACTTGGCGAGCCTTATTGCTTATAAATGGAGTCCAATTTTTTTGCACTTTTAACCTAGGATGTTCTATATTTCTTAATTCGATAAGCTTAGTGTATTCATTATTGGAATGCTTTGGATTCTGTGTTCCATCAACATTTTCTTTTCCCAACTGAAATTGAAATGGCCATCCAATAAACATTGATCTGTAATACTCAAATTTAATACTTGAAGAAGCTTCATCAATTTTTGTTTCATCACTACTCTTGCGATGGTATGCGTTAAAAACAATCAAGGGTTCTTCAATACCATTCTCATTCTTAACTAGTAACATCCTAGCATCCTCAGGACCATAAAACCTTTTCAGACGATAATTGGAATCGTGGTAGAATGGTATTGGCAAGAAGCTTGGAAAATTAATACTTCTGAAGCTTTTGTCGTTGGTCAAGGAATTAGATGATGGTATAACTAGCTCAATATTTTCTAGTTCATTCCAATCTTCGTCGTAGACTTGGCCATATAGTAAACTCAAAACACTATGTTTTTTAGGACCTGGAGGACTATACATCATTCTTGAAATCATAAAGTGAACACCGTATTGCTCTAACCATACAGACGTTCCAGCAAACTTAAACCAATGATCGCCTGCTGTTCCCTCTTGGAGATGTTTTTCCAAATCATCCTCGAAGAATCCCTTCAACTCCTTTATAGACGGATCATCCTTCAATTGTTGGACCAATTTTCTGACTATTTTTTCAAACGAAAATCCAAAGGTATTAGAATCGGTGACGTCTACATTGATTTTTTTATTGATATCAGGCTGACATTTTTCAATATCTCCTTCGATGTTTTTCACAGAATCATATAATGAAATCTGATGTTTGTGATATTTATTGTCCCTGATTTTATTCGTCAAAGGAGACTTTGGCCCATTGTAGCTTAGTACTTTCAAATTTTCTGTAGTTCCTGCCAAGTACGTATTGTAATGATCTTCTAATTTCTCTTTGACCTCTGACGAGAATGAGCGAGGATACACTACTAGATGATCATTCGGTTTCTTATGAAATGCAGAAATTTTATCATTATAGAACCCTTTAATCTTTTCTAATGATGGATATTTGATTTTATTAATAGATGAGTGTACGGCTGCTGCTTTATTCGAAGTCCATACTAATCCTATTAATGTGAACAAAAGAACCAACACCAATAATGCTTTTCTTGTAGTTTTAGGTCCAAATAAGATCTTCATAGTGTTGGACTTTATCACCTAAATTAACTTAGTCAAAAATTTCCATTTTATTTTTAATATATCAACGAATATTCATAGGGCAACTCATCGTCTTATCGTTGCTAATAGTGGCATGCATAGCCCAAGTATTGCTTATGCTTAATATTACACTCACTTGCTGCAGTTATTTCCTAAGCGGGATTCCGAACAATATTTTCTATTGTCTTCCGGCAATTTCCATGAGTTTTTCTCTATTTCTGGCTTTACAGGCCACGTTGTTGAAGGTGCGCCTCTCAAGAAGTTCCAGGATCAATACAGTAGGTATCTCCTAGAGGTATATATTTTGCCGACAGATGTACAGGGTTACTTGTTACACAGATAGACATCTATGAAATTGCTGTTAAAAAAAAAGACAGAAAAAGGAATTACAAACGGCTGAAAAAACGCACATAAGTGACATCTTTCGATTGCGCATAGGCTTCAAATTAGCTATAAATATATTTTAAGCCAGTGAGCATCCGCGCTACCTTCAATGTAGTTCACATGCAAGCATTACTCAACAAAACTCAGATTCGATAATTAATATTTGGAAGATGTAGTTGACCAATTGATAAGCTGAAGATATGATACAAGAGCAATACAATATTGAACTTCGAAATGGACAGAGGGTATCCTCTACATTAAGCAATTATGATAAGCGTGATGTATTTTGCAAAGATGCTAAACGGAAATGGACTCGTGTCATATTCCTTCTCCATGGGTTTCCTGATAATAACACATCATATAATAATGTTTGGAAAGTGATATTAGAGTCTGTACCAGAAGATGAAAAGGTTTTGTTGCTAGCTCCATCAATGAGAGGTTACGAACCGTCGAGTCAAGGCGAACAATCTGATTATAGGATGTCAGATCTCGCAAACGATGTAAAATCATGGATTACAAGTATTTCACCAGATGGTGTTCCAGTACATCTTCTTGGTCATGATTGGGGAGCAATAGTAGCTTTTAAAACCGCTAGTATGTACCCTGAGTTGGTAAGATCGATGGCTTGTTTGGCTATACCATATATCACCAATATTCGATTATGGGAGTTTGCATGGTATTGCCCAGACCAGATCTATCACTCTAGCTATATGTTTACCATGCAGTTTCCATGGCTCTATAAAAATAGACTCTCTGATACAAGTAGCAACAGCTATTTAGACCGCCTATGGCGCTGCTGGTCTCCCACATGGGATTATACCAAAGATGAGATTGATAGCGTCAAGAGAACTTTTAAGGAACCTGGAGTTATCGATGCATCAACTGCATACTACAGATGCCTTGCTAATCCCTTAAATATTTCTGATAGGCGCTGGAAAGTAGACTTTGAGAAAGTTCCAACTTTATTGCTTGGCGGTGAGCGCGATGGGTGCATGAATGTGAAGTTATATCATTTGGAAGCCAATAAACTTGCCAGTAACCCACACGTTAGCGTCAAGATACTTTCAAATGTAGGGCATTTCTTGCATCGTGAAGACCCTACAAAAGTTGGAGAGTTGATATCTGACTGGTTCAGAAAATATCCTTAGTTTTGTCTAGTTGTATTTCCTTATGTATCATATTGGGAATGCATGAATAAATGAATGAATGAATAAACTGCTCGTGTACCACATGTAAAAATCTAAGGAAACTGATCTCCATCTTCCCTGCAGCATGGTCTATAATGACTTGGCCCCAATATTAATTCTACGTAGTCATATTTTGAAGCAAAAAGCCCACTAGAAGATCAGTCTAAACTTTAAATTCTAACCCGAGTAAAATCTGTGATCTAAAATCGCTACAACCTTACTATTTCAATTAATGAACTAAAAGACTAATTCTCTATGTTCTTAACCTTATGTCCCAATGAATGAGACGTAACAACTAAATTAAGTATATATCGTAGTTACGATAGCTGTGATAGCAGTCACTAAGTGATCCGGGTATAAATACTGCACATATGAAGCTTGGCAGAAATGGTTACTCCCGGTTATTTGATGAACTGTGCTTACCCCCGGGCCCCGTTTATAAGGCATTTGAACTTTGGTGAGGCAATAATATCGCAAGTCTTCAAGAGTCGCGCCGGAGTCAAAACGGGTCTGCGAAATAAAGTATGAAGTGGGGCATCGTAGAGGGGCGGAATTATAAGCCGACATTAAGTCCCGTTTTTTTAGAAGTGCAGAATAAGAAATGCCTACAGGTTCTGGCGTTGGCAACTAAACAAAAGAGACAATCAGAGTCAGGAAATTAACGGCTAAAGAGGAGCCCGGAAATCGGATCTCATGGAGTGTAATAATCTCGAATGACAGTCTAAAATCGCCGCTCATAGTAGTTATTTGTTCACAGATGACGAATGAATGTAGTATTGACTCTTTAGGATAGTTATAATCTGGAGTACAGATTGTGGAGTTGTCATACCCCGTTCCTTACGTTAACTTACATTAGTTTATACAATCAGTGTTGTTCGAGTGATCTCAAAATTATTGCTGCAAGTCGGGGCAATGTGCACAGAAATCCAAATTCGCTCATATATTGGGGAAGGGACTACTACGTAAAAAAATAAGTGGAGTCATAGTAGACACAACTAATACATAATAGATACATTTTGTTGATATATTCTCTTATTCCTTTCAATCATATTAGTACCTGATTTATTATAGCATACAAGATATCTTGAATATCACTCAAATATATTCCACTGACGCATTACAGTTTACAACTATTTTACAATCAAAAATCGCTCAAGATGGTACTTACCAGTGAAAAAAAATTGAAACCAGTGGTTTCAGAAACCAGGAAAAGCTCTTCTGCTTCGGTATCGGAGTGTGATAACATTCCGAGCGTTGGGGCTACTAAATGGGATAGGTTTGTCGATAGTTTCAGAAGGCAACACGTACAACATGGAGATGAAGGAAAGAGTTTGCAAAAAGGTATAAGCTCAAGACATTTGATTCTTATGGCGCTTGTGACGGGTATGGGAACAGGGCTTTTCGTTGGTACCGGTAACATTTTAAGTACAGCAGGTCCTTTATTTTTGGTTGTTGGTTATATTATTGTTGGATCATTTTTGTATCCAACTTTGCAAGCTGCAGGAGAATTGGCAGTTAATTATAGTGAACTTTCTGGTGGTTACAATAATTACCCGCTGAAATTCATTGATGAATCTGTTGCATTTGCAGTCACTTGGATTTATTGTATCGAGTGGTTGTCGACCTTTGCATTAGAATTAGTCACCGCATCTATCACTATAAAATTTTGGGATGAAGAACAGAAAATCAATCCAGATGTATGGGTAACTATTATTTTCGTGATAGTTGTGCTGCTTCATTTTGTTGGATCCAAAGCTTATGGAGAAGGAGAGTTTGTTATTGGTTGCCTTAAAGTTCTTATGGTTACTGGATTTCTTATAATGTCCATCGTTGTTAACGTTGGTGGAGGACCAGAAGGAAAGTTTATTGGAGGAAAGTACTGGCACGATCCTGGCTACTATACTAACTTCAAAGGTTTGTGTACAGTATTTGTAACTGGTGCATTTGCCTTCAGTCAATCTGAATTTGTTGCATTATCGGCCGCTGAGCAACCAAATCCTAGAAGGGCTATTCCTACTGCTTGTAAATTAGTTTTCTGGAGGATTTTGATATTATTCTTGGGCTCTTTGATCATGGTTGGGCTCTTGGTTCCAATGGATTCTCCAGAATTGATGGGAGCTTCTGGTGGTGGATCAAATGCATCACCATTTGTCCTTGCCGCAACTTTGCATGGTGTCACGGTCGTTCCACATATAATCAATGTTGTTATCTTGCTTTCAGTCTGTTCTGTTGCTTCGTCATCATTGTATGCTTCATCGAGAACTTTGCAATCATTGGCCGACCAAGGGTATGCACCAAAATATTTCAACTACATCGATAGATCTGGTAGGCCCTTGCGCTCACTAATCGCATGCTCTGTTGTTGGGTTATTTTCTTATATTGCCGCTTATAATAAGCAAAAGACCGTCTTTAACTGGTTGTTATCTATTTCTGGATTGGCGCAGCTTTTTACATGGGATGTGATTTGTATTTCGCATATCAGATTTAGACAAGCGCTTAAATACAATGGAATTTCAACTGATTCATTAGGATATACGTCTTCCACTGGTGTTTGGGGTTCTGTATATGCTATTGTAATACATTGGTTGATTCTAATTGCTCTGTTTTATACAGCTTTATTCCCAGTTGGGTCCAGCACTCCAGATGCACAAAGTTTCTTTCAAAATTATCTCGGTGCAATCGTCTTGGTTTTCTTTTACGTATGTCATAAACTCTGGTCGAGAAATTGGAAATTTTATGTGAAGATATGTGATATAGACATTCACACTGATAGAACTCTCTTTGATGAAGAAATATTGAACTTAGAAAAACAAGAATTTCAAGAGAAATATAATAATGATCCATGGTACAAAAAACTTGGTACAATACTTCTTTAAACGAACAATCATTCAAGCATATTTATTTACAATCGTCATAATACTGTTTGCACAAATTATTTCTCGTTAGTTTGTCTGAAATCATTTTACACCAACCCACCGGTGGGGTTTCGTTTTAAGAGGAGTTTACTCCTATAAGTATCTTTTAAAATATGATGAATACACAGCATATATTGCAATATATTTTACGCGAATTAATTCGTATCTTGATATTGTGTCGGAATAAGCTACAGCGCATCGTGCCCTTCGTAATATTCTTTTAAAATATCACTCTTGGTGGCCATGATTTCATGTAAGCGCCATACTGCTACCATAATTTAACTTCAATAGTGGGGTCAAAATCAGGTTTATTTTAGTAATCTGAACATATTACGAAAACCTAAAATATATACATTTATTCATTTCTTATGTATAATATATTACACTATGTATTCAACAACTAAGTGTCAAATGCATTTCAATCGGTTTTAGCCGTCATTTAGGAATTTCCTATTATATTATGAGTTAGGACTGGTTGTTTACATTGGCCTACAACAGCTTGTAAACGCGCTTGTTTACAATCAATCACGGTCCACACGTGGATACTTTGACAGCTCGTATTCCTCCCTCACAGATATAGCTAAAGGCGAACATATCAGTTACAGGAAATGGATTTCTAATTCCTTTCGTGCAATTGGTCCCACGTTCTTTAATTAATACCAAAAGATTTATAAAACCTGAATATTCCCAAAGGTTCAACTTGCAACCAATATCTAAAGGTCGCTTGTCGCATCAAATTTTATTTTTTCGCTAATTTGCCAAGTAACCATGCAGTTTAGAGCACTTTACAAAATCTTTGTCGCTTTGCTGTGTCTTGAGTATTCTCTTGCAAGACCTCAAGTAAGAGACCTCCCAGTAAACAAGGTTGCGCCTGTTCAGCATCGTCTTGCTTATGCTGGAGAAACAGGAATGACAGTTAGTTGGAACACATACGAGCAACTCGATGCTCCCTCGGTTCAGTATGGTCTTTCCCCGGATTCATTAGATCAAATAGCTGAAAGTCTGGAATCTGTTACTTATCCTACTTCTCTTACTTGGAACAATCATGTGGTTATCAAAGATCTTCAACCTGGTACCACTTATTACTATAGGGTTGCAAATAGTGAGAACGATTCTGATATTTACAAATTTGTCACAGCTAAAGCACCTGGCTCAACTGGCGAATTTTCATTCTCGGTTGTAGTTGACATGGGAACTATGGGAGAATTAGGTTTGAGTGAAGAAGTTGGAAAAGGCGCTGGTGGAGCTCTTAAACCAGGTGAGCAAAACACTATGCAATCGTTGCGTGCTAGCATTGACGAATTCGAATTTTTATGGCATCCTGGTGATATTGCTTACGCCGATTATTGGCTTAAAGAAGAAATTCAACATTATTTACCAAATACAACCATCGCTGATGGCTATAAGGTATATGAGCAAATTCTTAATGCGTTTTACGATGAACTTCAACCTGTTTCAGCCAATAAACCCTATATGGTAGGTCCAGGAAACCACGAAGCTGATTGTGATAATGGTGGTACTTCAGACAAAGAACACGATATTAAATACACAAATTCTATCTGCGTTCCTGGTCAAACCAATTTCACTGGTTATAGGAATCACTTCCGTATGCCGGGAGATGAGTCTGGTGGTACTGGTAATTTTTGGTATTCTTTCAATTACGGTCAAGTTCATTTCGTTCAATTCAATACTGAAACCGATTTTGGTAATGGGCTCAAGGGTCCTGAAGATGCTGCACCCAATGGCCCACAAGGATCATACTCTAATGCACAAATTGATTGGTTAGAAAAGGATCTTGCATCAGTCAATAGAACTGAGACTCCTTGGGTTATTGCTGCTGGACATCGTCCATGGTATGTTGCTGGAGACGGGTGTACCGATTGCCAAACTGCCTTTGAATCTATACTTAATAAGCACAATGTAGATCTTGTTGTTAGCGGTCATGTACACAACTATGAAAGGCAAAACCCTATTTCAAACGGTGTCGTAGATCCAAAGGGTCTTAACAACCCGTCTGCTCCTTGGTATATTCTTAACGGTTTAGGAGGTCATTATGATGGTCTTGACCCTCTTGTTTACCCTCTTCCGAACTACACTGAATTTGCTCAGGATTCCGCCTATGGATGGTCAAAATTCACAGTTCATAACTGTACTCACTTGACTCATGAGTTTGTCGCTTCTTCCAACAATTCTGTTTTGGACAGAGCTACCCTTTTCAAGAACCGTACTTGTATTGAATCAGCTGTGAACGCTACACGTCCAGTTGATTCTAACCAGTCTAGTTTAGCTAACTCCACTCAACATTCCACCCATCCGTACACTAACGTTTCTACTGCTATTGATTCCACGGGAGCAACCACCAAGGTTATAACCGTTACGTCTTGCTCTAGTAATATATGCAGTGAAGTACCAGTTGCAGCTACGCCCGTTTTAACTGCAACTACTATACAAGGAATCGAAACGTTTGTGACAACATATTGTCCTATATCAGATACAAATGAAAATAGCGTAGCTGCCACAGTTAATCCCATTTCAGGTTTGAATCTGTCGTCCTATAATGCTTCTACCATTTCCCCTCTCATGATTTCGTCAGTAGGAGAGAATTCTGCTGCTAGAATTGCAGCAGGCAGTGTTATTGGATTTATTATTCTTGCTTTAGCCATATAAATCTTTTTATATATTATCTAAAGATATTATGTATCTATAATATATTTTATGTTTCATAGTTAATTATAAATAAAAGTTTTTGAGAAGGCGTTAATATCAGTTAGCAGTACTTCAGCAGTTTACGCATTAAAAATTAATATTTCTCGTATCGATCGAATTTTGAAAAACCTGTTACTATAAAATTTTATATTTAAGAACATAAATTGATAATAGTAGTATTAACATATATAATTAACTCGAGAGGTATGATGAAGTATTTTTTTAATTTATCAAAGAAGACATCCCTAACGATTATGGTTCTGCGTAAGGACTGAAGTGCATAAACCCCATTTTTGATAGTCGTAATGGAATAAGACAAATGCGTTATACAATGAAATAAATCTACAAACTAAGCTTATTTGTTTGCAATTTAAACAATCTATCGCTAAAAAGCAAATATCACGAAACGCGTTTTTAAAGAAAAACATGAAGTGCGTAAGATAAGTTGCAGATTCCATAGCTTTATCACATGTCCATTTTGAACCTACTGATTGTTTATTATGCTTAAAGATTGAAAAGGTACTAATGAAGTAATGCAATATCTACTTTAATAATTTGAACAATTTCATTTATTGTGTCTGACGATAAATGAATACTTTAACATTCAATTACGTTCAATTATATAGCTGAAATATGAGATCAAATACGTTTGCAGCTTAATTATTACACTAATATTGTGCTAAGGATTGCAAAACAATTGATTAATATAAAAATGTCACTTTCGTCAAATGTTTTATAATGTTTGGACTAAGGAACAATAAATTTCTAAAATGAACTTCAGAGCTATTATCCTTCTATTTTTGCTGACAGTTTTGATGACAACTTATGCTGCACCATTGACAGTTCTAGTTCCTACTCAAGACATTTTTTATACCCCACCAGAAGGATTCGAAAAATATTCCAATGGTCATATTCTCAAGCTAAGAAAAACACCACATCCTATAAGAAGAGAGAAGCAGCAAATTAATATAAAGAATTCTTGGCAAGCTATGGTTAGATCCAGCGATTCGTTTGGAGCACCCAACACGATTGTTACTACAATTATGGAGCCTTATAACGCTGACCCCGAGAAAGTGGTCTCCTACCAGATCTTCGAAAATTCAGCATGTGTTGACTGTCCACCTTCATATGGATTACAACTTGGTGCAAATGATACTACTCTCTCTGAGCTGAAGGAAATGTATTTCATTGAAATAGCATTAAATAAGGGTTGGTTTGTCGTCGCTCCTGACTATGAGGGTCCAAAGGCAGCATTCAGTGCATCGATACAAGAAGGGCGTGCTACTTTGGATTCAATAAGAGCGGTATTGAAAAGCTCGAATACAACAGGTATCAGTAATCACGCCAAAGTGGCTATGTGGGGTTATTCAGGAGGTACAATACCTACTACCTGGGCAGCCGCCTTACAACCGACATATGCCAGTGAGTTGAAAGCTAATTTAGTTGGTGCCGCATTTGGTGGTTTAGTTAGTAATATTACTTCAACAGCTGAGCTTTTAGATGGTGGAGTCCATGTTGGATTAACTGTCGCATCGATTGCAGGAATAGCTAATGAATACCCGGATTTTAAAGAAGTCGTCATGAATGATCTTTTACCTAATAGGACCGATCAATTTAATGAGATTTATAACTTGTGTATGACACCTGAAGGTCCATATTATTCAGAACAAAATATTTTTTCTGGACCTGAAAGATATTTTAAAAGTGGTTGGGATATTTTGAAGAACCCTACTGTATTGAAAGTACTCAATACAAATATTTTGGGATTAACTAAAGACCAGGGCATCCCTGATATTCCACTTTTTCTATATCATGGCGAAAAAGACACAATGGCTTCAATTGAACAAGCTCAGAGAGTTTATGATAATTGGTGTGATTGGGGAATTGGATCATTCGAATTTGCAGCCGACGCTTCTGTTGGTCACCATTTAGCAGCGCTCACGGGTTTAGGGGCTGCAGTAGAATGGCTTAACAATCGATTGGAAGGAGAAGTTACAATTCAAGGGTGTAGCAAAACAGTGAGAAAGTCTAACGCTTTCTACCCAGGGATTGAAAAATCTGTATTTGATTTTATTATTTCCACAGCAAAGAGTTGGTTTGGAATTCAAATTGGTCCTAGCGGGTTGAGCCCAGCACTTGGGGATACAGGTCGCACCACTGTAGCTACCAATAATGGTAATGTTGTTGTTGATCAAGCATATATTGATAAAATTAACTGGTAACTTTCATAACGAGAAGAATGCTTTTTAAACAAAAACTAAACCCTGAAATACGGGAATGTATATTATGTAAACTATATAAACATTGTACTATAATCTACTGTTGACTTTGTTCACAGCTTTATGATTAAAGTTGTATAACCAACTTTTCTCCGCTTAGGGAACCTTCTCGAATAAGTTTTAATCCATCGTTAATACCATTCAACCCATTTGGCTGAATTCTTATTGGTATGTGCTTTATTTCATTATTATTTATCAAATTTTGAATGATGGGCATAAATTCAAGAATAGCTTCTTTAATCCCAGGAGTTGCTGGGAATTTAGACCCATTATTATATTTAGCTTCATTACCATTCGCAGTGAAAGCTCTTGTCATAGAAAACTCTACATTAGCTTTATGGTTCTCAATTGTTTCAAAATTTGAAACTACCAATGAGTCAATTTTTGTGGGCAAGGAATCAGAAACAGAGTCATGAGTAAGCTGCAAAGTTGGAGTTCCACCTATCGTATGTAATGCCATGGTAATATTTGGGTCAATATTTTTGATTTGTTGGATAACATCCAGGTCATGGTAGTCAATTAAATGGTCAGCACCAAAGGTCTTGATTAAGTTTGAATGTTTTTTGGATGCTACCGATATGACAGTCCACCCAAATTGTTTTGCAATTTGGCTTGCCACCAATCCAGTGGCTGTTGAGCCTCCATAGATCAAAATACTTTTACTTTGTGGATTTCTAAAGGACCCGCCTAACGTAAAATATAGACTGCATCCCAAGGTAACTACAGCATTAGGAATTGAGCATGCACCCTCAAATGTATCAATATTCCCTGGAGGTAAAATTGGTAGACTAGACGATTCGAGATTTTTCAATTTAATTGAATATATCTCTTGAACAACTGCCAACTTCGAAAAGGCACCTTTATCTGGGTTAGAATAATCACCGCCATGAATAAAGCTAGCAATAAAATCGCCAGGACCGAACCTTGTTACATCTTTACCAACCTTCAAGACGATCCCACTAACAGTTAAGCCCAAAATTGCACCATCGGGAGCCCAATTATAATCTATATGATAATAATCTGCGCCATTAATTGAGGCAGCTTTTGATTCAATCAAAATTTCATCTGAGTTGATCGGTGCCACAGGGACCTCCTTTACTTGTAAGTTTGAATTAGATTTTTGCAATACAGCAGCTGTAGTAGTAGATATAGTAGTCATAGTAGTTGAAAATATAAGAATGGGTGTGTTTTCTCTCCTATTCTTTGAATATAATTCAACATCGATTTCTAATCAGAAATGCTAGATTAAATACTACAGCAGCATTTTTGCGGCATTAGTAAGCCTATTTAAAATAACTACATGCGGAACTTTCTAAGAGAAGCATGAATGTGAAGTCTCCTTCATCCTTAAGGAACACGTACTATATACACAGAACTTGAATACAGCCAGTGAAAATGATCTAAATTATAATGTTTTACAAAACTGAAATCGGAAGAAAAATTCTAATCATTAATCATACGATCTCTTTGAGGTCTAAGACAAGTATATAATAAAAAAAGTAAAAATAAACATAAATATTACATGATTAGAAAATGAAATAAAGACTATTATCAAAGAAGTTCTTTATTCATCTTACTTCAATAACTTGGACATATTATTCCACCAGCCCTTGAACAATTCTTGATCTGTGCTTGCAATGGCCTCATTGAAAACATCTTCGTTCGCCAATTTAATCATGTATAAGAACGAAGCAAGGGTAATATCAGTCCAACCGGTTGTTTCTCCAGAAAGAAAAGCATTTTTTTTCAAATTTCCAAATAGTAAGTTCAAGTTTTTTTGAATCCCTTTCACATTTTCATCGCGATCCTTTAAAGCAGCAGTTTTAAGGTCCCCGTATAAAGCGGTGTTTTTTTTTATATAGTATTTTTTACTTTCATCGTCTAATTTATCTGCAATATCCAAAATAACCAATTTAAATAATGTACCTTTTATCTCAGCAAACCAATTGTAAATAAATTCATGTAGCGCTATATTACCCTGAAAGATAGATGCTCCTGGAAACTTCTTGTCTACATATTGGGCAATTTCGAAAGAATCTTGTATAACATTTTCATCATCGACTAATACAGGAACTGTGCATCCTTTGTCTTTATGTAAAATATTGGGAAGATTTGCATGGATCTCCGGATAAGTTAAAGGAATGGACTCAAATTCTATACCTTTCAAGTTGAGACACATTCGTGCTTTCCAAGGGTTCGATGACCATAAGAACTTAGGATCTTTTCCTCTTAATTCATATAATTTGATAGTCATTTCTTTAGTTGTTAATTTGAATACAAACACAAATTATTTAGAAGAATGGTTCTTGTCTTCTCTTTTATATCACATGGTTCATGCCTTATAAGATTGCGGTTATAGTAGCAAAATATATCCTACACACGGACTTGAGGATTGGGACCATTAGTCCGAAAATATTTGAAATACTTTTAAAGTTCATAAATATACTTTTAGAATAGACTTCACAAAAGAACGACTTTTGCAGAGAGAGAGAGAGAGTAACTGGATACGATTTCTATATATTGTATCCTTCTGGGCGTCTATATGTACTTTATAAGATCTATTTAATTCCATGATAAAATGGAGAACACTTGATTATAAATTGAAAGTGATATTCCAGATTAAATTATGCAATGATGTTCCAAAGTTTTTCTATTTTTTGTTTATCTGAATTAGTATTTTTCAAATTCGAAAAAGGCATTATGCCAGTCTTTAAATCCATTTCTTCTAAAGGTATTAATAATTTAGTGTTTTTAAACCACACGAATTGAAAGAAGACAAATAAGATGACAAAAAAGATATTAGAAATATAAGCAGCAAAAAAGTCTGCTACTGAAAAACTTCCTACAAATACGGCGTAACCTTGAAAAAATATCAAGAAAGTAATAACTGCAACGGAATACCAAGCATATATTGGCATTCCACTTGCAACAAAAGGAAGTTCTTCAGATCTGTCAATCCCTTTTAGCTTTAGTCCCTTAATGAATCGGATATGAGAAAAAGATATAAACACCCAAGCAAATAAGCCAGAAGTTGCAGATATGTTCACCAACCAGTTAAATCCTACTAAACCCTTCGCAGACAACGATAAGTACCCTAATAATCCCCAGAGAGAACTAAATAATACAGAATAATATGGTATTCCGTTAATGGTAAGGGTAAAAATTCTTGGTGCAAGATTATCGTTAGCCAATGCGTATAACGTTCTGGAAGCGATGTAAATATCAGAATTTCCTGCTGATATTATAGTAGTTAAAATAACAGCATTCATAATTCCCGGTAAAACAGGTGTTCCACTGTTTTGAATAGCGATAACAAATGGAGAAGAAGCAATATAAGACGAATCTGAATTCAATTTAGGATCATTATAAGGAACCAATAATCCCATGAAGAATATACTTAAAATGAAGAAAATTACTATTCTGTAGAATACCTTTTTGATTGCTGAAGGTACCGTTTTTCTAGGATTCTCACATTCTCCTGCCAGTACACCCACTAGCTCTGTTCCTTGATATGAGAAAATGGCATTTATGAGTGATGAAAACCAACCTAAGAACCTTCCAGTATTCTTATTATCTACAAGAATACCATCTCCCCATGGTCCTGGATTCTTCCAATATCTAAACCCGAAAGCACCGTATTTTCCTCCACCACATACCATAATAAGCGCATATAATATCCAGCCCATTATTGTTATGACCTTAATGGAGGATATCCAGAATTCTATCTCTCCATAATATTTGACTGGGAATAAATTGGCAACAGTAAGTAATACAAAAAATATGGCTATCCACGCTGCATTAGGTACTGCGCTTGTCCAATATTCAATTATTTGACCAATAATAGATAACTCAATTGCAAAACCTATGGCCCAACAAAACCAGTATAACCACCCAGAAGCTGCACCTAACGATGGAGAAATAAAACGAGAAGTAAAAACAGTAAATGAACCAGCAATGGGTATATATGTGGCCATTTCACCAAGTGATTGGGCAACTGAATAAACAACACTTGCAATGAAGATATATGCAATTAAAGAATTAACAGGACCAGCTTCATTGAGCGGCACAGATGTAGATATAAAAAGACCTGTACCAATAGTTCCACCAAGAGCTATCATTGACATGTGCCTCGATTTCAAAGATCTTTCAACATTAGTATTCCTCTTGTCTTCTTGATCCACCTCTTCTAAGCTCACCTCATGATCAAGGATATCGCCAGACTTTTTTTCACAGGATAGTACAGAGTTTTCACTCATTGATATACTAAATAGATCTCAAGCACTATTATCTTGCTGTAATTGAAGAAAATTTAATGCATTAAAGGACAGAAGTTTAAACTGAATTTTTGTTTGCATATGTCGCGTGAGATTATGCTATAATGAGATGAGATGAGATGTTCCGTTATCGATAAAGAAAACATAATTATTCAACTCCGATGTCAAGATATTTAACTCTCGGATATGATACAAGATATAAAGACACTACTTAAATCGAAGCCATTGGTGATAGATGGTGCCTTAGGTACTCAATTAGAAACGAAATTCAACAAATTATTGCAAGAAGACGGTATAAACATTCAGTCTCATCCATTATGGTCCGCACTTGTTCTTCTCAAAAATCCGGAACTTATTCAAGAAGTACATTATGATTACTTGTGCAGTGGTGCTAATATTATTACAACGTCTACGTATCAAGCATCTAAAAGGGGTTTGCTTGAACATGCTCCAGGTATTGAAAATGATGATGAAGTGAGTGCTGTATACGATAAGGCAATTGAGCTAGCAGTCGAAGCGAGATTACAATACTTATCAGAAGTGGATAAAGGTAGCCACAGTCTGACTAATAAAGAAATATTTATTTGTGGTTCGATAGGTCCATTCGGTGCTTATTTGGCTAATGGTGCAGAGTACACTGGTGAGTATGATTCGCATATAATTGAACAAAAAGAGTTGAAACTTTTTCACCATGACATAACAGATCGCTTTCTAAATAATCCTGAATGCGACATCATTGGATTTGAGACAATCCCTAATTATTCTGAATTCCAGCAAATTATTGAATTAATGGAGGATTCATTGCAAAAAACCAATAAGCCTTTCTATATCAGTTTGAATTTTAAGGATTCTAAAACTATTTGTGATGGCACACCTTTAAGCATAGTTGTTGACTACCTTAACGAAAGGTTGTCTAGAAGCGAAGTACTAAAGTCTGCATTTATTGGACTTGGTTGTAATTGTGTTCCATTAGAATCAGCTACTGATATCCTTTCAAACATTTCTAGCTTGAATAAGATCCATGAATTTCCATTGATTGCTTATCCTAATGCTGGGTTGGATTATGATCTATCTAAAGGTGAATATAGTATAAAGAGTTCAGAAAAGCAAGTATGGGAAGGATTATGCCGCGAATGGCTAAAAAAACTAAACGTTAGACTCGTTGGTGGTTGCTGTGGAAGTGGTCCAAAAGAAATATCCATTATTAGGAATGTTACAGACAGATTTGTGATCGAGGAAAACTCGTATTGATATTTTTCTTAAAAAAAGTTTAGTAAGAATAGAACCAAAAGCATAAAAGGACAATTGGGAAACTTCAAAATTCCGCTTAGCATAATAGATGTTTAAATTTTTTACATTATGTTTCTCCATAATCAGCCTATATTAAAGCTATGTTATAAAAATTATTCAACTTTGTAGTCATTCATCAAGATACAGATGCAATTTGCACTAAATATTGTAGATGCAGATGGTTATAGCTAACTTATATTTAAGTCACGTGATATAAGCAGCAATACAGCAATTTGTCAATATGAATCGATAGCATCTTTCATGAACTTGATACTCTTTTATTTTAGAAACCTATTTAATGGAGCCTCCGTCAAAGAAGGCAAAACTCGAAGAATTGCCTCATTTTATAAATAGTCATTATCCATATGACATTGATAATAAGACAATTATATCTAAATATATCAAAAGAGAAGATCTAAAGCCAATTAATGTCTTACAGAAAATACTTAATAATACTGAGTCAGATAGAAATAAGAATGATTTAGGTGAAAGCGTTGCACATTTATTTTTGCGTGACTTTAGGACCATAGACAATAAAGGACTTTCGCTTGCAAGTAAACTAGCAGTTGGTAAGAAGAAGCCATTAATCACATTCCACATCTTTTGCCTAGAAGAATTCGATGCCCATTCAATAAGTCCATTTAAATTAGAATATACTTTAAGATCAATAGAGATCTTGAAGAAAGATTTGCATGCAATGAATATTCCATTGGTGACTTTGCAAGTGGAGAAGCAGAAAGATATCCCAACGAAGATTGTCGAATTCTTAGAAAAAAATAAGACTAGTCATGTATATTGCAACATGGAATATGAAGTAGATGAATTGAGGTTGTTATCTAAACTCGTGATGTGTCTTCTCCGCAGGCATATAAGTTTTAATCCTGTTCATGACTCATGCATAGTAGAACCTGGCGAATTAAAAACTAAAAGTAAGGGTACTCAATACGCAGTTTTCACACCTTGGTATAAAGCGTGGTGTAACTATTTGAAAAATGAAGAAGAACCATTCAAAGAATATCTGCTGCCCCATGCAAATGAATCATTCCCAGACCCCAGCGAGTTATTTGACAGCAAGATGCCCCAAATACCAGAATCAAAGCGTCTTACCCGAGATCAGCAAAAAGAATTTGACATCAGCTGGAAATGTGGCGAAGAGGAGGCATGGCTGAATTTACGTGCTTTTCTTGAGTCCGATAAATTTAAGAAATATGATGAATCAAGAAATGAGATATCGGATGAATCTGTATCACATATGAGCTGTCCTATCTCTTCTGGAATCATATCCACAAGGTCAATAATAAGATACATTTTAAAAAATAAGTTGGTCAAAAGAATTGATAGTGGAGAACCAGGTACAGGCTGGATCCGTCAAATTGCCTGGAGAGACTTCTACAGACATATATTATGCAACTGGCCATATGTTTGTATGTTCAAACCTTTTTTATTGGAGTACGACGATTTAAAATGGGAGTATAATAGGGATCATTTCCATAGGTGGTGTCAGGGTAAAACTGGGTTTCCGATTGTTGATGCAGCAATGAGACAGCTTAACCAAACAGGTTACTTACATAACCGATGTAGAATGATAGTTGCCAGCTTCCTCTCCAAGCATTTATTGATAGATTGGAAATATGGCGAGTATTATTTTATGGAGCACTTGATTGATGGTGATTTTGCTTCCAATAATGGTGGTTGGGGCTTTAGCTCGAGCACTGGGGTTGACCCTCAACCGTATTTTCGAATTTTTAACCCTTGGCTTCAATCGGAAAAGTATGACAAAAAGGGAACGTATATTAGGAAATGGGTCCCGGAATTGAAAAGTATACAAGATAATAAGGCTATACATAATCCTTACGAAATGGGGTACGGTAAAATAGCAGAAAAAAACGGTTACCCAAAGCCAATGGTCAATCACAAAGAATGTAGAGAAAGAGCGTTGGACAGATATAAGGAGGCTAAATATTAATTAAGTATGCAACCATGTCGTACTTGCTGTCTCTTGTAGATTTATAACTTCAAATATAATGTTTTTCACAATATTCGAAATTCGAATGTCGAACTCCACAACTTTTATATTTGAAAAGATCACCAAGTAGAGAAATTATTCATAAATTGATGTTTGTTGGATAGACAGAAATAAAAGTTCATTAACCTGTCTTATTTAAAATAATTTTCTATATGGATGAATGGATAAATGTCGTTCTCATATTATAGTATTTGACAGTCTATTATCTCGCAACAAATTGCTATATTTGATTATCCGCTAAACGATTTAGTATGGGGGTTTCGCATCGAAAATCAACTTCAGGCTCTGTTTCCCCATATTTGAAATATATGCAGGTACTCCGCTTTTAGACGGGGTTCTGCAATCACTTCAGTTGTGAAAATTTAGGTATTAAGTATCCTAAAGAATAGGCAATGAAAAGTAAAAATAGTGTGTAAGTGCTGAAGAATAAGTAAGTTGTCTTTCTAAAGAGATTATTTATAAAGGATTCCTTTTGCTTTAGTTACTGTGTTATATGGAATATTAAGTATAAGTATGTCGTTTCTAAAGTTTTTATTCAAGAATAATGATATTGGGGAAGATATCCCGGGGACTATTCACTTAATTGATGTAGACCGTGTCTCTATTATATCAAACTTGGATTCAGGAAAAGGAAATCAGAACATTATGTTGCACCCTCGGCCAAGTTCTAATCCAAATGACCCTTTAAGATGGCTGTACAGAAAGAAAAAACTACAACTCTTTCTTCTTACATTTTGGGCTTTTATTCAAAATATTTCTTCTGTTTGGACCGGTCCAGTATATGACACCTGGGTAGAGGAGTTTAATTGCACTTATAATCAATTAAATATTGCTTCAGGACTTGTATTTGTTGCTATAGCTGTGGGCTGTACTGCCTTACAACCCATTGCTTTAAAGTATGGTAAAAGGATAGTGTATATTGGATGTACGGTACTTCAAATAATTGGAAATATAGTTTATTCGCAAGCACATAATGTGGAAACTACGTACATTGCTTCGGCCCTAGTAGGGTTTGCTGCTGCACCAATATACTCCTTAGTTGAAATATCTAGTACAGACATTTTTTTCCAACATGAAAGAGCGGAAAATATCTCATGGTTAGTTCTTGCACTTCAATCTGGCTGTTCACTAGGTCCCTTGGCAGCTGGGTTATTACCGAAAGCCTTAATTGGAGATGGTGCTGTTATATTATGGTTATGATATTTAGTTTATTACTTGTCATCCAAATCTTTACAATGGAGGATAGCACATTTCAGAGGGAAGAATCGCCAGAAGAATCAGAAGAAAGCATTGTACTGCAAATCAGATACCACGAACCTTTAATTAATAACATGCAGAGCGAGACATCAAGTCCAAACAAGAAAAAAGATAATCACAAGTATCATATTGGAGAGGATGACCAGTCGATTGATCCCTCAATACCAAAAAGGAGTTATTTACAGAGGCTTCGCTTAATAGAGAATGAGTATAATAACCCTGCTTCTATTCTTGTTTTATTTCTTAAACCTTTTTACCTCATTTCATTTCCTATTGTAGTCTGGTGTGGTGTTTTACAAGGAATACAGCAAATGTGGTTAACGTTAATGACATGCACTCAATCTGAATTTTATTCTAGTGCTCCGTATTATTTCAGCTCATCTATGGTTGGATTGAGTAACTTGGGACAGCTTGTTGGAATCATCGCCGGGATGGCATATGGAGGTAAATTTGTTGACTGGTTAACTATTCGATTGGCTAAAAAAAATGACGGTATCATGGAACCAGAATTTCGTCTATTTTCTATGGTGTTTCCAACCATCATCAATGCAGCTGGTATACTAGCGTATTGTTTAGGACCAGCATATAACGCACATTGGTTTTTATCTGTTGGTATAGGTCAATCCTGTTTGGGCTTCTCAATGGCTTCAGTCACCTCGATTTGCTATACATATTGTTCAGATAGTTACCCCAAGTTGGCGAGTGAAGGTATAGTGTTCATATCTTTTATTAATAATGCTTTAGCGACTGTTTTCACCTTTACTATCCAATCTTGGATAGACAAGGATGGCCTTAAGCTCATGGCGTGGTTGATGTTCATGCTTAGTCTTATTTTAAATGGCAGCTTTATTGTATGGGTATTTTACGGAAAAAGAGCTAGAAGGTGTACTAAAAGTAAATATTATCAATTTTGCGATGATGCTGGTAATCATTCCTAGAAAAGCAAACGTTTATATAGAATGAATTTTACACTTTAAATTATTAATCTTATAAAAATATCAGAAGAAGACATTAAAGCTTGTAAATGGTCTCTCTCTGATAGTTAAACATATGTACTTCATTACATTGCGTAGTGAACTAAAATGAAAAAATATTAAAGTCGCTTATTCAGATATTATTAGGGTATAGAGACCCCCCTCTCTTACCTCCTCATAATATCATGATAATCAGCTTTAATCTTACAATATAGTCTGTTTTCACCATCCTCATCGATGATGAAACAATGCATATGTAGAGAAGATTGATAAGTACACATCGCACGGCAGTGACAGCAATGACAGAACTGGGGACTATATAATTTCTTATACCCTCATCAGCCTCCTATCCATTAATAGGCTTTTTTTTTTGCAGAATAATGAATAAACAGGCGTTCAATGATTCGATTAGCGGAGAAGTTACTCATATAAATGATGATCTGACAAGTGCTCCGCTTGATCAATCACAAGGCAATCTGTCTGCAGCAGGAATTAATGGACATGAAGCGCAATTCTCTGACTCTGAAGGAGAAGATGAATTCATCAGACGCCATGGCCATATTGACTTCCAGTATATTAAAAAGCCTAAAGACGCAATATGGTTTATTAGACCTCATGCACTCAACTATTTTAAGGATGTTGTATTATATAGAACTAAAGGAGAGAGGACGTCGGCTAAGACTGAATTGTTTTTGGATTTGATGTATGTTGGAATTATTAGTAACTTGGCAGGGCATGCAACAGAAAATGCTAGTGGAGGTGCATTATTAAAGTATGTTTTGCTTTTTGTCCCGGCATGGGTGGTTTGGGCCGATATTAAAGACTTTACAAACTATTACTATAACGAGGATTTATCGCAAAAAGTGTACATTATTTGGATTTTGGTACTTTTGACATTATTTGTGAACTCTTCCAGTGATGTTCTAGAGGGTGTTGAGGGGGCTGCATACACAATTGTTCCATATATTCTTTGTCGAGTTTCATTAGCCATTTCATTGTTAATATACTCTTTGTACATTCCAGAGCATAGAATTCAAATGAGGATTTACAGTGTTTGCATCTTTATTACTTGTTGTATTTGGATACCGGTCATTTTTATTCCAACCCGAGCAAAAATTGGACTTTCAATCGCTGTCCTTTTCCTAGAACAGCTTTCTTTCGTTGTTGTTTATCATCCTGTGACAAAGAGACTTTTAAAACTTACAACTTCTACTGCATTGAATATTGAACATGAAGTCGAGAGATTTGCTACATTTGTAACTATTGCAATTGGTGAATTTTTGTATAAAGTTGTGGCAACAAATCCTTTGGGTACGGGTTTTAGCTCGAAATTTGCAAGAGGTACATTTTTGTTAGTGATTGCTTACATCTTGTTTTGGATTTATAATAATGGTTCCAATTCAAAAAAAAACCACGCATGCATTGAGACACAGCGGCTGGACTGCCATAATATGGATCTTTTGTCACATTCCGTTAGTTGCAAGTTTGGTTCTTGGAGCAGATGCGGGTGGGGACTTAACCGAGTTGGATATTACTAGTTTATCAAAGCACGAGAATGAACATGTTCTTGAAATGAGATCTGAAGAGGAGCCTAATATGTATGCCCTTTCGTTTTTCTTTACGGGTAGTATATGTGTTTCTTTATTATGTATGTGCATAATAGGACTATCCGATAGAAATGAAGACCCACCAAACTTGCATATTGTGTCTAGATTCTGGAGAGTTATATGGAGAGCACCAATTGGTCTTATTATTGTATTTTTAAGTTTTGCTGAGCTTGATTCCACGTTACTAATGGGTATAGTAACTATCTTGTTAGCTGTGCTCTTAGTATATGAAAGCATTGTTTCTACACCAAAAGATTGCATTACTTATCCTATAACACGGAACAGATCATCCCCACAAGAATAGGGAAGTTTAGAATCGACTAAATATATACACATACATGTGTCACTTTATCATAAGGTGCTAAATAAATCTGATTTACTATGATATGATATATTCATTCAACAATAACAGATATCCAAGGACTTTTCAATCTGAAAGTTATAATAATTTCAAAAGAGCCATTTAATTAACTTTATAATCTATAGATAAATCTATATAATCAAACATTTCAATTTTTATAAGTGGTTCTGCTGAGTGGTTGTGAGTATAGAAAAGAAATTTTGTCTTTCCCGTTTCTAGGCTTTTTAATAATTTATTCAGGTATCTACTGAGGTCTACAGTTCAGCCACATTTATGACATCTCCAAGAAAATAATCTGATTGTAAGCTAAAAGTAATTAGTGGAATAATTGTTGACCTTCTTGTTGAAGGTTTATATGGAATTCTCAATAGTTTTGAAATGCCTTTAAATATATAATATAGCTGATATTTTAATTAGGAATCGAATGCAGTTTAAATATCAGCTAAGAACCTCAAGAGAGTCTATATATTCTCAATAAAATAAATCTTCAGAATATCGTTCTGCTTTTCTCAAGGATAAAGTTACTACTCTAATTACTTTTGGTATATTAGGCAGTTATTTCATACACGAACGATGTCAATAAATAAACAATTTGAACAATTTGAAGGATTTGTAGCTGTTTTAAGAATGAAAAATTGCGATAAACTTCAAAGTCTTCAACTAGTTGTCTGAATGTCAGCTTACTCCAGTCCATCATTCGCTAGTTAAACGCATTGGGTGATCCCTTCTTTGGCGCATTAAGTAATAAGATTAAAAGGAGCAACACAATTATGCTGCTGACTAAGAAAATAGATTATTTAATCTTTTATTGCACCTCCACTGGTGGTTTTCCTTTTAAATTTAGTAGTATCAAGATAGCTGCCATTTTTTATCCAACTATTTGTTGAACCCAAGAAGTACATATTCTACAAAAGTTATACCTTTGCCTTTAGTATATACCGTTATTTCACTTTGCCATATCTCAGTGGTTTTAGAATAGCACGTCTTCTCTGGTCATCTAGGGCCTAAGTTCTGGATTTGGCTTGCAGCGATAAAAAGTGCGGTTACTATTAATCTACAGATTGTGGGACAACCGTACAAGGATCGAGAAAACTTGAAACAGGAAATGAAAAATTTTCCCACGCTAAACAAAATGAACTGCCCTAATTAAACAAATGGTCTTAGTCTATCATGACTTAAGAATGTTACTCTTCAAACTAAAATCTGTAAAACTACATGATTACTTGTTCTAGTTATTAATGATTTCAGGTTTTACAGCCTAATTGAAATATACATAATTCTTTTTTTTGTGATATCCATAGACCATGATGATTTAGTTCCTAGTGTAAGCAATGATATATATTAAGCAACGTAACAATGTGTTCTTTGATTCTAAAAAATTTATATCATTTGTGTTTCAATAAACCCTTTTACTCGAGCTTGATTTCCGCGCTTAAGCGGAAAAGATAAAATATAACCGAATCTTCGTGCACGGCTATGATGTCGCATTTATAAGTAATCTCTCGAGACTAATATAACGAAGTAGAACCAAGGGAAACATGAAGAAGTTACCAAGTCTTTATTGATACGTAATTCTTGTAGATACCAATTTCAAGAAATACAATGTAATGTGAAAAACAAATTGTCGGATCTGTCAATTTTGCATAGGGTGATTTTGTCTGTTCAGGACGTGATATAGCCGGGATATGCTTTCGGATAATATTTTTTCAAGTGCGGCACCCGATATATAAATTGAACTTGATTTGGCTTATTCAAGATATTCAGAAATTTTAATAGTCAATGGCATTATGAATAGGCAAAGTTCAAACCTTCAGGATGATTCTCTGACTTCTATAGATGATAATAGTATCGATAGTGAAAAAGTTCGTGCATTTAAAGGTCACAATATGGACGCTCTGTCTATAGCTCACCAAAGAAGTAACAGCAACGTCGAAGATAGGGAAAGTTTGAGCAAACTAATTTCCAATAACAAGGGTGTAGAGAAGATAATCTCTGAATTAGAAGAAGGCGCTGGTAAGTTAGGAGGATTGGAAGAACCATACGACATAAAGAGGATTGAAACAAACCCAGATCCAAATTCTACATTTAATGATAATGATCCGTGGAAATATCCTATTGATCAAGAAACTGGTCTCAGATTGGTTGAATTTGTCCCAGATGATAAAAAAAATCCATTGAATATCTCAAAAGCAAGAAAATGGACCTATACTTTTCTCTTAGGAATAATTTGTTTCGTTGTTGCTCTAGGATCTGCCATTGTAACCGGAGATATTAGCGGGCCCAGAGAATATTTTGGCGTCAGCGAAGAGATTATTATTTTAGCCTCTGTCACTATGTTCGTTCTTGGTTTTGGTTTTGGCCCTTGTCTATTCGCTCCACTTTCTGAAGAAATAGGTAGACAACCGGTTTATGTTGGTACGCTATTTTTAGGGGTCATATTTATAATTCCCTGTGCATTAGCTAAAAACATTGAAACATTAATTATTTGTAGATTAATAGATGGCTTGGCCTTTTCTGCGCCTATGTGTCTTATAGGTGGTTCATTGGCAGACATTTGGGAAGCCAAAGAAAGAGGAGCTGCAATGGCTGTCTTCTCAGCTGCTCCTTTTTTGGGCCCAGTTATAGGCCCAATTTTTGGTGGTTTGCTTGGTGATAATGCACCAACATGGAGATGGATTTATTGGTGTTTTCTAATTATTGCTGGATTTTTCTATGTTATATTTGTTTTGGCTCTCCCTGAAACTCATCATAGCACTATATTGAAACGTAGAGCTCAAAAGTTAAGAAAAGAGACTGGTGATGACAGATACAGAGCAATTGCAGAATTGAAGATTAAGAGTTTCAAACAAGTTTGTAATGAGTCGCTTTTGCGTCCATTCATTTTATTAAGTGAATTAATTATATTCCTAATAACCCTATACATGTCTGTTATTTATGGATTATTGTATATGTTTTTCTTTGCATACCCAATGGTATATGGTGAAGGTAAAGGATGGAGTGATTCTATGGTTGGTGTTATGTTTATTCCAATTGGTGTCGGTGTGGTTATTTCTGCTCTTATAGCCCCTTTTGTCAACCGAGACTACAACAAAAGAGCCCAAGTTTATAGAGATAGAGGAGAGTTACCACCAGCCGAATTAAGGTTGATTCCAATGATGTTTAGTTGTTGGTTCGTTCCTATCGGGTTATTTGCATTTGCATGGTCTTCTTATCCATCTGTCTCGTGGGCTGGTCCGTGCTTTAGTGGTCTCGCTGTTGGCTTTGGCTTCACTTGTTTATATAATCCTGCTAATAACTATATTGTTGATTCTTATCAACATTATGCAGCAAGTGGCTTAGCTGCGAAGACCTTCGTCAGATCAATATGGGGTGCCTGTGTCCCATTATTTACTATTCAAATGTATCATAGATTAGGCTACGAATGGGCATCATCATTAATGGCTTTCATTTCATTAGCTTGCTGTGCTATTCCTTTTGGATTTTACTATTACGGAGCAAGAATAAGAACTTACTCAAAATACGCATATTCCCCGGACTCAACCAATTGATCTCACTCTTAAATATATTATAACATTTTTCAAATATTCTTTTGAATAGCATCACCTTAAAATACCTGAACTATATAAATTTATAAACTAATACATATTTAAACATATAATTAATCCCCGGCTGACCAATTAAGAACACATCACTCAGCGTATTTTCAGGTATGGATTAACTGATTAAGACATGATACAATCTATTTTTATTCAAGACTTCTAATAATCATTAATAGATTACAAAATCACACATCAAGATTAAACGGAAAGTTGGCTATAGTTGAAATATATTACTATATTACTACTTGAATTTTTATACGTCGATAGATTTCGGATTTAAAAGGATTGGGAAGCTGGTTTTGCAGCCACTTTTATTGTGCGACAGAACTCAGCGTTTGGGTAACAGAAATATCCGAAACATTGATCACCATATCATAGCGATTCTATGTGTGATAATTATCAGAATAAGCTAATAGTCAGGTTTCGATATCTACAGAATTAAATAGCATGAAAAGATATTTAAGGTCGTGATTCACTTACAATTCTAATAAATTTCCAACAAAGCTAAGCCCTATTATGTTCATATTGCAGAATTTAACTCTTCGTTTCAATTTTTATTCAAATAACATCTCGATCAAAGTTTCCAAATTTTTCTAAATTATTATAAATACAATATTTACAAAGTACATATGTTTAATGCCCTAGAAAATTTAGTTGAAATACAGCAAATAAGGAAGCTTATTATTTAAAAAGCTAAGTCTGTACGGTATGCCAAGTTCCCACTAACAATAATTTACTCAAAAAGACTTTTAATCTCAGAAAAGTAAAGACAGTTCTAAATAAGCACTTTAATGTATTCTTTTATCTCTTTAATATAACCTATCCTGAAGTAAAGTATATTACAAACTATTTCTATTTTTAAAACTTACACATTTGTGACCAATAAAGGAAGGTTGAATTTAAAGAGTTTCTAGATTGCGAAAAAACTCCAACCCAATCTACATCAAGGTACAGAAATTAAGCAACTCAAGACAAGACTACTGTTACTTTTGGGCTTTTCAGAATTGATTGCTTGCATGTACTATGTTCAAGGAAAAACTATTTAATCGACGCTTTATCTAATTTGAATTTAAAAACTTATTCTTTTACAATATTAAATAATTCAATGAAGTTTAACAGTTTAGTTTTAGTCAGTTTAGCTACATTAGCTGTTAGCAAAGAGGCCAATATCGTTAATACAAACCAGGATGAAATCACGTTCAAGAAGCAGCTTGATTCAAGGGGCCTTGGATTAAAGGACTTCATATCTGATCATTTACCATGGTCAGGTAAAAAACACTGGAAAGACC